AAAAAACATAAATATATTATCAAAAGTATGTTTGACTGGATGTTTGAAGAAGTTTTTTTAAGTATGTAAATTATTTAAATAAAATTTAGTGTAAAAATACTATGGTCTCTTTTCATTGTATGATAACCTAACGGTTCACATTGAAAATAGTTTCATAATGTTGGCTTTCCTAGGGAAATGTAATTCAATTTCTTACCAGAAGATAAAATTGGCATTACAGTTGTGTCAGAAAGGGTTGTCATTTCTTGCCCAACCAGTGGTGAACTTTCTCCTCCATCAAACATTCCAAAAACATTCACTTTATAGGTGGTACCTGCCCTGAAATGTTAAAGCAGATAGTCTGTATGGACCGTTGGCTAAAGTGCTACCATATTTTGCTGTGTTAAAGACATTCATCATGACTTACAAACTTTCACTCAGAGGAATTATAATGTACAACACTGTAAGAGAAGGAAAATAATACCTATCCCATTCTAGCTTATGCTTACCGTGTGAGGTATCAAGGGAATCTAGACAGCAATCATTCCAGAGAGAATTCGGGAGTCACAGCACCCGTTGCCGTCTTGCCTTTCTACCAGATGCAGAGTCCCTGCCATGCCACTCAGCATGTCAGAGAAAGATCAGGCTCTTTGCTCTTACTGCTTCTAAGCAATGGGCTTTAAGAAAATGATTGAAATGCTATGCCTTGCAAGGTAACACAAGGCACCTACCACAATGCCTGACACACAGTAAGCTTAATAAATTTCATTTTTTCTACTCTGGCAAAAGTAAATAGCACACAAGCATTTCTATAGATTTCAATACTGTTGAATGAATGGTTGAAAAAACAAACTTTCCAGAAGGCAACACACACTAATCCATTCTTTTTACTGTAATGAATGTAGGGTGCTATTCAGACTCAAACTTCCTTGTTTTTCACTACAGAGCCTGAAGCTAGACTTTTAATCAGCCCAGCCCTAACCTCTCCTGCCAACTGGCACCAGGTACAAAATGGGGTTCTTGTGCCTTCTCTCTCCTGTGTGTCACACTGCAGGGGAATTCACACTGGAGCTCTCATCATGAGTCACCTGAGCCCTTCCAGAAGGCACAAGAACCCCATTTCCATCCGGCTGGAATTTTGGTGAAATTGTGTAATATGAATGGTGATTTTTAAAAAGCAGATTGTTATTTTAAAAATGCCACTCCTGATTACTTAGTGACAAAAATCATTAAAACATTACAAAAAATTCTGTGCAGGCCTAAATTCTGTTGCTACCCTCTGAATCCTAATCTCAACTCTAGCAGCACCAAGCATAAGAAAGAAGCTTCAGCTGATTTTAAATACCCTGCTGGCAAACAGATATATAAGTGATTATTTGTGTAAGACCTACTAATTTACATAAGTTATTCAGTCTTTTAACATAAATGTAGTTAATTCCTACCTAAGTTCCTCCAAAACAACTGTGTTGTCATACGGTCCCACCACTAACTCCCCCAGTCTTCCATCATCCTCTGTAGGGTGAAATGTGACTTTATAACCTTTCACTTCCCCCGGGGCAGGTTCCCACGTCACTCGAAAGCTTGACATGGTTGGGTCAGATGTTTTGAGGTTTCTGGGTGACTTAAATCGAGAAGCTGTAAAGACAAAAAGATTTTTAAAATATTATCCATGAGACTAGGATTTGGGGGTTTTAATTAGCCCCTACAAAAAGATATAAAAAAGGTTAAGTTTGGTAGCACAAGATATCATGTCCAATAAAAGTCCTGATGACAGGGTGCTACCAAAGTAGAAGTGTAAATAATTCTCACAATTCAGATTAGATTAGTATTAGAACATTAATATGTAGAATCATTTTACCAAGAACTAGATTGGTAAAAATAATATGCTAATTAGCTATTTATCTAATAATTGTAATTTAACTTATTACAGAGTCAATTTTAAACATTTACAAATGAAGTAGATATATTCATGTCTTCTTTTAAAACATTACCTACGTCCCCCCACCAAAAAAAGTTATTTTTTACCTGTTGTTCCTGATCCTTGCCTAAGCTTTCCTTCTCCTGTCTTGTAAATTGGGAGAACTGTGATGTTATATGTGGTCTGTGGCTGAAGTCGCTTTAATACTGTGGAAGTGACTGTGGGCGGCACTTTAGCAACCATTTGTCTCCCTCCACCACGGGGGCGATATACAACTCGGTAGTTGACGACTTTTCCCGGTGCTGGTTTCCACGTAACTCTCATTGTGCTTTCTGTTTCTTCATCCACTTTCAAGATTTTAGAATCTTGAGATACTGTAAGGTAAAAGGAAGATTAAAAGGTGTGACATGTTGAAAGAAAATATATATGTCCACCTCCTTGTTTATGAGAAAAGAAACTATCTGCGATTTTTAAAATATGTACACTGTTCTCTTGCTTAGTATTGTAATCTCTCAAAAATTCATGATGGCGTGTGAGCCTAATCTCAGTAAGATGTTTTCTCTTTATCTAGCTAATACTAGAAGATGGAAGTTCATATTGCAGGGATTTCCTATTTGCATTCTAGAGACTTTAGTAAAGAAAACATCCGTTTCCGGAAATGAGGTTTTAGAATTTTTATTATATTTCCATCTGTAAAGAATTCCTCTCATAATAATGCTGTGGGGAACACCAAAAGTCATGAAGGCAGGGTTAGAAATTTTACTTGGGCCTTTTCAGAAACAGTTGGAATCCTTGAATGACTAACCAGAGTGACTATGGTTAACACTGTTCTTTGCGATTGCCGCATACATGTAAGGCAATGAACACAAAAGAATAGGAAACTAACAAATAAAAATACCTCACAAGCTTAAAGATAAATGCTGAGTATTTTAGGAAGCATTATATGTTAATAGTATTTGCTTAATATTTAATCAATATTATCTATTAAATTATCTTTTACTAACATTTCACCACTAATAACTGACAGAAACAGGTCACCAAGCATCCACAGCCAACATCCCTTTTCTTATACATATTAGAGTTTATAAGCAGGATCATTTCATTCAGTTCAATAATCTTAGCACTCCAAAGGTCACAAGCATTTTTATAGGCAGAGATTAAGCTGAAAAAACCTTAAAATCTGCAGAGAATCTTTCCCGATTTTAAGAAAAATATTTTCTGTTCAACTGGGCAGAAACCATTTGAAATAACTACAAAACCTGAAAAAAAAAAAAAAAAGCTGGGAAAAAAAAAATTGTTTTCAGACATGGGAATCAGTCAGCACAAGATAGTGATCCCTGACAGATGAGAAACAAATTAAAGTAGGTTCATGACTGCCCCAGCTTATTGCTTGGAGACAGTTCCAGGCCCCATTACAGAAAGGGGGGATCCAGATGAAGCCTAGTGATCTCCCTTAATTGATGAGATGGTGCTGGGATTCTGGAGCATCCAAGGTGACTAGAACTTGCCGAACCAAGAACTGGAAAGGAAAGTGCCACAGAAGAAAAGCTACAAAACTATGCCAAAGGTCCCCCTTGAGTCTTCAACCCAGTGTTAATCAGTGCATATGTGTGAGAAAGTTACCCAAAATCAGGGAAAGAACCACCCAAAAGGAGCACAAAGAATAATTCCTGAAGCTCACAAAAGGTCAGAAATGCTTCCACTAGTGCAAAGAGTACACCTTGTCACTCTCTGAACAACGTGTAGAGTACTCAGGAAGTTACTGCCTCAATAATGGGGCAAAATTAGTCCTAAACAGAGCTTCAGAGCAAGCTTCGGAATGATCAAACTATTTCCAAGAAACTCAACTGTATTTCAGAACAAAGTTTAAGAATATTTATGAGTATAAAAATATCCAGCACCCAACAAAGTAAAATTCCCAATGTCTGGTAACTAATAAAAACTATGAGCCATCCCAAGGAAAAAAACTATGACCTATGCTATGGATTGAATAATTGTGTCCCTCCAAAATGTATATGCTGAAGCCTTAACTTCCAGTGTGATGGCATTTCAAGATGAGGCCTTTGGAGAGGTAATTAGGGTAAAATGAGGTCGTAAGATATTGGTGTCTTTATAAGAGAAGACACTAGAGAGAAATCTCTCTCTCTCTCTCTCTCTCTCTCTCTCTCTCTCTCTCTCTCCCTCTCTCTCTCTCCCTCTCTGCCCGTCCCTCCCTCCCTCCCTCCCTCCCTCTCCCTCTCCCACTCCATGTGCACAGACTGAGGAAAGTGAGCAAAGGTGATCTGAGGACATAGTGAGAAGGAGTAGTGAGAAGGCCATCTGCAAGCCAGGAAGAGAGCCCTCACCAAAAACCAGACCCTGCCAGAACCTTGATCTTGAACTTTCTATCTTCCAGAACTGTGAAAAACTAGCTTTCTGTTGTTTAAGCCATTTAATGTTATTTTGTTATGGCAGCCCAAGCTAACTAAGACAACACATAAGAAGAAGAAAATCCATCAATAGAAATAAATTAGAAGTGACATACATGGCAGAATTAGCAAAAAGGACATTAAAACAGTTATTGTAACTATATTCCATATGTTAATAATGGTAGAAGAAAGATTAAGCATATTAAGTAGAGATACAGAACATATAAAAAAAGACTCAAGTGAAACTTCCAGAAATAATAAATACAACATCTAGGATTAAAAAGGCACAGGATGGTATTCACGGCAGATTAGAAATTGCAGAAAAAATGATTAGTGAACTTGATGACATGATGATAGAAACTATCCAAAATGAAACACAAGAAAAAATATTGAAAAAATGAACAGAACATCAGTAAGCTGTGATAACTTTAAGCAGACTAACATATATACAACTGGAGTACCTGAAGAGAATGGGGCTATAATAAATAAAATATTTAAAGAAATAACGACCTGTATTTTTTCAAATTCTTTAAAAATTATAAACTCACAGGTCTAAGAAGCTCAAAGAGCCCCAATTACAAGAAACATGAAGAAAACTACAACAAAGCACATAAGAATGATAAAATAGGTAAAAATACCAAACAAACCAGTATGTAGTTATAAATTATGTTTCTGAGAGATGCAAAAGCATAATTTCAACCAAGAGTAAACTGGTTGCAATTTTCTATTTTAGGGTTTAAAGAAAGTAAGAGAACTCTCAGCCAAGTCAATTATTGTCTGAAAATATTAAAATTTATTCAGATTCATCCTTGATTCTCTATTACTATTCCCCATAAACTATGAAAAGAAAACATATATATATATATATATATATACACACACACACAAACAAAAAATGTAAAGACTTTACCTAGAGCTTTGAAAATATTATGGCAAAGATAGCATATAGAAGAATAATATATTTGGATTATCATTACCAATTGACACAAATTTTGAATAAGCTGATGGGTGCCTAACACTTTTCTAGAAAGGATTGAGCTAAAACATGTTTTCTGACCTCTTGTTTCCATCTTAAATTTTTACTCAGTGGAACAAGACATCTCTCTCTTATACAAAATTCTCAGACCAATTTCACACAACTCAGAATTGAGAAAATGGAAATTTAAATCTTATGCATGTTGGTCTAAAAAGAAACCTATGTTCCCAAAAGAATGGGATTCCAAACTTTAGGATATTTCCAAATTTAAATATGTTAATAACAGCCAAATACTGTATCTCATAACCTTGACATGCTCCAAAGATCTCAACTATATTTCTGCCTTTTTAAATAACTCTTCTAAATAAAGTTAAAATTAAATAAAGTACTACATACCTCATCCTAGTTTCAGTGGGAAAATGGATTTTAGGGAGAGGGATTAAAAAAAACCCTTGTTGACTTCTCATTACTAAAAATCAAGATTTTTCAGTTCATTGATATACCTACCAATGCCACATGCTATAAAATGCTTTAACACACTTTTACATTATTAGTTTTTTCATGTTTTAGTAACTCTCACAAGATACTTTCAAACACCCACTGTACCACTGCTAAACCAGCTGCCATAAATTAGAGGAGTAATAGCAACTTTCCCCTCTGCTGCCTTTCTAGCCCCAATTCATGGTTTTCATTGTATCAACAGTCTGCATACCATGTCCCTGAGTTTCAGGTGAAAGCAATCCTAAAGACATTTCCAAAATGTCTCCTTGAAAATATATATGAAACTTTAAGAACATGACCTATGGATTCTGCTGAGTTATCCACACCTCGGGATTCACCGACCACCTAAATGTCAGATCTCACTCAGATTTCTGAAAGTACTTTATAAACAGCTTTACATTCTCCAAAGAGAGCAAATTTAAGCACAACAAAAAAATGGTAGTAGAGTAAAGAAAGGCTCATGACTTCTCTCTTATTTACTTAGACATTTGAGCAGTTTTTATATACAGTCATCCCTCAGCATCCCTGGGGGATTGGTTCCAGGATACCCTTGAATACCAAAATCTGAAGATGCTCAAGTACCTTATATAAAAATGGGGTGTTATTTGCCTATACTGTAACCTAAGCACATCCTCCCATAAACTTTCAATCACCTCTAGATTACTTAGCATATATATGCTAGGTAAATAGTTGTAATACTGTATATTTATTTATATTTTTTATTGTTGCATTGGGGTTTTTTTATATATTTTCAATCCATGATTGGTTGAATCACAGACGCAGAACCCATGGATACAAAGGGCTGGCTGTACTCTAGAAAATGAATGCTTCATTCCTGCTANAAAAAAAAAAAAAAAGCTGGGAAAAAAAAAATTGTTTTCAGACATGGGAATCAGTCAGCACAAGATAGTGATCCCTGACAGATGAGAAACAAATTAAAGTAGGTTCATGACTGCCCCAGCTTATTGCTTGGAGACAGTTCCAGGCCCCATTACAGAAAGGGGGGATCCAGATGAAGCCTAGTGATCTCCCTTAATTGATGAGATGGTGCTGGGATTCTGGAGCATCCAAGGTGACTAGAACTTGCCGAACCAAGAACTGGAAAGGAAAGTGCCACAGAAGAAAAGCTACAAAACTATGCCAAAGGTCCCCCTTGAGTCTTCAACCCAGTGTTAATCAGTGCATATGTGTGAGAAAGTTACCCAAAATCAGGGAAAGAACCACCCAAAAGGAGCACAAAGAATAATTCCTGAAGCTCACAAAAGGTCAGAAATGCTTCCACTAGTGCAAAGAGTACACCTTGTCACTCTCTGAACAACGTGTAGAGTACTCAGGAAGTTACTGCCTCAATAATGGGGCAAAATTAGTCCTAAACAGAGCTTCAGAGCAAGCTTCGGAATGATCAAACTATTTCCAAGAAACTCAACTGTATTTCAGAACAAAGTTTAAGAATATTTATGAGTATAAAAATATCCAGCACCCAACAAAGTAAAATTCCCAATGTCTGGTAACTAATAAAAACTATGAGCCATCCCAAGGAAAAAAACTATGACCTATGCTATGGATTGAATAATTGTGTCCCTCCAAAATGTATATGCTGAAGCCTTAACTTCCAGTGTGATGGCATTTCAAGATGAGGCCTTTGGAGAGGTAATTAGGGTAAAATGAGGTCGTAAGATATTGGTGTCTTTATAAGAGAAGACACTAGAGAGAAATCTCTCTCTCTCTCTCTCTCTCTCTCTCTCTCTCTCTCTCCCTCTCTCTCTCTCCCTCTCTGCCCGTCCCTCCCTCCCTCCCTCCCTCCCTCTCCCTCTCCCACTCCATGTGCACAGACTGAGGAAAGTGAGCAAAGGTGATCTGAGGACATAGTGAGAAGGAGTAGTGAGAAGGCCATCTGCAAGCCAGGAAGAGAGCCCTCACCAAAAACCAGACCCTGCCAGAACCTTGATCTTGAACTTTCTATCTTCCAGAACTGTGAAAAACTAGCTTTCTGTTGTTTAAGCCATTTAATGTTATTTTGTTATGGCAGCCCAAGCTAACTAAGACAACACATAAGAAGAAGAAAATCCATCAATAGAAATAAATTAGAAGTGACATACATGGCAGAATTAGCAAAAAGGACATTAAAACAGTTATTGTAACTATATTCCATATGTTAATAATGGTAGAAGAAAGATTAAGCATATTAAGTAGAGATACAGAACATATAAAAAAAGACTCAAGTGAAACTTCCAGAAATAATAAATACAACATCTAGGATTAAAAAGGCACAGGATGGTATTCACGGCAGATTAGAAATTGCAGAAAAAATGATTAGTGAACTTGATGACATGATGATAGAAACTATCCAAAATGAAACACAAGAAAAAATATTGAAAAAATGAACAGAACATCAGTAAGCTGTGATAACTTTAAGCAGACTAACATATATACAACTGGAGTACCTGAAGAGAATGGGGCTATAATAAATAAAATATTTAAAGAAATAACGACCTGTATTTTTTCAAATTCTTTAAAAATTATAAACTCACAGGTCTAAGAAGCTCAAAGAGCCCCAATTACAAGAAACATGAAGAAAACTACAACAAAGCACATAAGAATGATAAAATAGGTAAAAATACCAAACAAACCAGTATGTAGTTATAAATTATGTTTCTGAGAGATGCAAAAGCATAATTTCAACCAAGAGTAAACTGGTTGCAATTTTCTATTTTAGGGTTTAAAGAAAGTAAGAGAACTCTCAGCCAAGTCAATTATTGTCTGAAAATATTAAAATTTATTCAGATTCATCCTTGATTCTCTATTACTATTCCCCATAAACTATGAAAAGAAAACATATATATATATATATATATATATACACACACACCTATGTTCCCAAAAGAATGGGATTCCAAACTTTAGGATATTTCCAAATTTAAATATGTTAATAACAGCCAAATACTGTATCTCATAACCTTGACATGCTCCAAAGATCTCAACTATATTTCTGCCTTTTTAAATAACTCTTCTAAATAAAGTTAAAATTAAATAAAGTACTACATACCTCATCCTAGTTTCAGTGGGAAAATGGATTTTAGGGAGAGGGATTAAAAAAAACCCTTGTTGACTTCTCATTACTAAAAATCAAGATTTTTCAGTTCATTGATATACCTACCAATGCCACATGCTATAAAATGCTTTAACACACTTTTACATTATTAGTTTTTTCATGTTTTAGTAACTCTCACAAGATACTTTCAAACACCCACTGTACCACTGCTAAACCAGCTGCCATAAATTAGAGGAGTAATAGCAACTTTCCCCTCTGCTGCCTTTCTAGCCCCAATTCATGGTTTTCATTGTATCAACAGTCTGCATACCATGTCCCTGAGTTTCAGGTGAAAGCAATCCTAAAGACATTTCCAAAATGTCTCCTTGAAAATATATATGAAACTTTAAGAACATGACCTATGGATTCTGCTGAGTTATCCACACCTCGGGATTCACCCACCACCTAAATGTCAGATCTCACTCAGATTTCTGAAAGTACTTTATAAACAGCTTTACATTCTCCAAAGAGAGCAAATTTAAGCACAACAAAAAAATGGTAGTAGAGTAAAGAAAGGCTCATGACTTCTCTCTTATTTACTTAGACATTTGAGCAGTTTTTATATACAGTCATCCCTCAGCATCCCTGGGGGATTGGTTCCAGGATACCCTTGAATACCAAAATCTGAAGATGCTCAAGTACCTTATATAAAAATGGGGTGTTATTTGCCTATACTGTAACCTAAGCACATCCTCCCATAAACTTTCAATCACCTCTAGATTACTTAGCATATATATGCTAAGTAAATAGTTGTAATACTGTATTTTTATTTATATTTTTTATTGTTGCATTGGGGTTTTTTTTATATATTTTCAATCCATGATTGGTTGAATCACAGATGCAGAACCCATGGATACAAAGGGCTGGCTGTACTCTAGAAAATGAATGCTTCATTCCTGCTAAGTCTGCTCCTATTCAAAAGAGGCCTTTATGCTCATTAACCAATCAATCAATTAGCCAAGAAATATTAAAAATTTCTTAGATGCTCATCTTCTAAAACACAAAAGTTTATTTACAGCTTCTCCTAACATACTTGTAATGCTTCATTCCTGCTAAGTCTGCTCCTATTCAAAAGAGGCCTTTATGCTCATTAACCAATTATCAATTAGCCAAGAAATATTAAAAATTTCTTAGATGCTCATCTTCTAAAACACAAAAGTTTATTTACAGCTTCTCCTAACATACTTGCTTTTGGCTAAAACACATCCCTTGTGGAGATTTTCAATCTCAAATAATTATCTAAAGGCTCAGACTTGGAAAAAGACACAGTGGAAGAGAATTTTTTTTAAAAAATTCCTCTAAATATAAATACTTTTATAATTTCTCAGCCACAAGAAGTATATCTTTACTTCTACAAATAAATTTAGCTATATGTGTTATATCTGGCCTAAGTTTACAATATAGCTTCTCTTTACAAAAAATTAATTTCCACCAGAAATCAGAGAATGAGTTTCTGCCAGTTTCTTAAACTACATCAGCCAGTATATTCTAGATGCAAGATTTCATTTACTACCATGGAAGCAATCATATTAATATCTGAGTAACACGCCTTTTCACATATTTAAATTTCCTATAAGAAGTTTGATTTTTTTTTCATCTGGTTAATTTAGACACAAATTTAAACTTAGACACATCTAACTGAGCTTGCCAGTGATAAAAAGAAAACAAATTCTTCAGACAACTCAGACCAAAAGATTTTAGTTTAAGGACAACTTGAAATCAGGATATTGGACTTAACTGAAATTGCTTATGACACTTCCCTCTCTTTCTTCCTTTGCCGTAAAAATCACTACATTCCTATACTTGTTTCTTACAGAAAGAAATACAAGAATGACCCATTTTTCCTCTTTTCCTAAAATCCTCCCAAAACAAAAGGAATAAAGTTTTTTCATATAAATACTTAGAAATGCCCAGTTAACAAATGATTTTTTTGTTCTCTTTTGGTTTTATGTGTTTTTTCAATAGGCTTTTTTTTTTTAAGAGCAGTTTTAATTCATAGCAAAATTGAGCAGAAGGTATAGAGATTTCCTATGTACACTCCCCCACCCCCATACATGTACAGCCTCCCCCTTAACAACATCCCCCACCTAACTGGTACATTTGTAACAATTGCTGAACAAACATTGACACACCATTATCACTCAAATAAATGACTTTTTTAGGAAAGAGAATTAAGAAATCTTGACACATCCTTCACCAACTGAGTGATAATAAATGACGGTAGGTCATTCATAATTATTCACAAGAAAGAACATCTAATGAGACTGAGGTACATCTGAGCCACCAGAAAACTGAGTGACCTTTTGATTTTAACCTTACCAAATATAATAGCAACAAAGTAAAGAATCTAGGATCAGTCTTTGGTGTATGATTATCATGGCCTCAATAGACACTCATTGTTTATCAATCATCTCTAAGTGGCTAGGCGCTAGACTTGGTGCTCTGTACACTGTTAGTTCGTTTCATTCTCATGATGACTCTAAGAGACAAGGCTCATTATCTGTATTCTAAAGATTAGGAAACTGATGCTCAAAGAAGGCTAAGAAACTTGACCAAGGTCATGCAGAAATAAATATACCTGAATTCTCTGTCTCCGTGGCTCCTGATCATTTTACTAGTTGGTTATCCTATCTAGTTGATTATTCTACCAGAACAACAGCAACAACAACAAAAACTAGACCAATATAGGAAGTTGAAAAGAATTCAATATTTCAAAATTTGATGAATTTCTTAGATACTAACCTAATCTGTATTGAAATCACATTCTTTAAAGATTCTAATTCTTCAGTCCTCATTTATCATACAAAGAAAACAATTTGAGTGGTTGAACTGCATGTCACTTGAGCCGATAGCTATTAGGTAGCACCAACACACACCCAAACACACTGGTGATGTTACCTACATTCAGTTGTGGCTTCTCCGGTCACAGGTTCTCCTTCCCCACTGCTGTAAGCTGCAAATACTGAAATTTTGTATTTGGTCTCTGGCTGCAGATTTTCTATCATAGTATAAATTGCATCTCCTGGAAGATTTTTCTCTCCAGCCTCAATGTCATCATAAAGCGATTTCCATGAGACCCTGTAACCACGAACCATTCCTGGAGCAGATGTCCAATAAGCCCCAATTGACGTGTCAGTGATGTCTTTAGTAACTAAATCTCGAGGTGAACCACGTTCTAGAATAGAAATTAAAAGGGAATCATTTCTTAGATGTCTAGTAAATATTTAACTATTTATTATTCATCCTGGTAGGCATCCTGACTTGCTGAACTCAAACTCATCTGGTCTAAAATTGCCCATTTCTTCTTTCTGAACTGTCTCACTTGTTCTGTCAATGGAACAGACTGATACAACAAAACTTCAGAATTATATTTGATTCCTACCTATCAGCCTTCTCCTTATATGCCCAGTCAGACTGTAAGGTCCTTCAGGACAAGGATGGTATCCAAATTTGAAGGAGTACATGCTTTAAAATTTTTTCCAAAGGAAATATTTGTGTCTAAATCCCAAATTTTTATCACATTTGAGTCTACCTTATGACATAGCCCATTGTTCACAAAGATCTTTATTTCCTTATCGCGATATTTTCCTCTCTGCTTTAATTTAAATTAGCTCAATTTCAATCTATGATTTACAATAACTGCAACAATCTCATATCACTTGCAAACCTTAATTCTAACAATCATTTTCTGGTTAAACCTTTATTTGCTCATGCAGTTAAAAAAAAAGCAGAAGGGCAAACTTTCAATTTAGCTTAACCCAAACGAAACTAAAAACTACCAATTCTTTTGGAAAACCTAAAACTGATTAGTCATCAAAATAAAACACACCACTTGTTCTAGCTGATCAAAAACGCCTGCTACTAAATTTTGGCTCTTTCATTCAAAAAAAATACAACCCCAAATGGAAAAATATGGAAACCTCAACTTAATAGGAGGCACAGAACAGATGTCTTCCAATAAAACCCTCATTTTCCATATTTTAAATGTAAGATAAATATACAGGTCACTTTATATTGGCTACCCTTACTAGGGTTTATGCCACAGTATGACATAAATATAAAACAATCTACTTCCCCAGTATACATTTTACCAGTAATCGTCATATATTCATGCAAATGATATACAATGCTCTTACAAAAGTTTTGAAGGCTATTATTTTACTTGAATCAAAAAGTTAAAATAAATACCTTAAAGCTACTCAAAATTAAACAATGAAATTTCAGCACAAAAAATAAAGATAACAGTGAATGAAAAAGAAATCTAGGTGGACAAAAACCTATATGTGGTTAAACTTAGAGAGAAAAAATAAATAAAACAGGAGCTGGGCAGCCTACCAGATCCCGAGCCCAAATGGAAAATTCTAACTCCATTATAAATAACTTTAACTGCTGACAGGACATCTCATCTCTGGAAGGAAATTAGTTACATATTTCACTGCAACCAAGAGTACTTATTTTCAAGAACATACTGACTTTTTTCTCTCATTACTTGAGGCTAATTCTCAATTGAAGGTCTTCTTTCATCACATTTGCTACTTGAATGGCCATAATCTTTACATTTTCTCTACTTGCAGAAATATAAAAGTACAATTTCACTGTTTATATCTTCTGTTTGATTTGGTTGGGTTGGGTTTTTTGTTTTGTTTTTTATTTGTTTTGATAATTGATATCTCAACAACAAAAACTTAGAGACCTAAGTTTTAAATGTGCAGCACATTTTCCCTTTGCTTGATAATACTGTTATTTTCCATATGTACCTTTTCTCCTAAATTTCCTAAATTACAGTCAGAAACAGCTGCTGTGAAATGACCTTACTTGAAAGCAACTGTAAATTTAAATGAGGTAAATATTGCATTAATGACATTTCAAAAAAGTGTAAGACAAAATTAGATAGAATGTGCACATTATCTCCCAAATTAACACTGGTAATTTACAAACAATTTCAGCTTCTCCTTTTCTTAAACATTGTGTTTCTCAGCCTATTTTTCTCCTTACTTTCTACAACACTGATTTTGTTACACTGTTTATTTCCATGACAACAAACATCAGTCTTAACAAACACAGGCTAATGGCTTCACCATTAGAAAAATAATAGAAACAGAATTGTGGTTGAAGCAAAAATACATTCACAAAAAATTCCTCGGCTTAAAACAAAAGGATCACTAGATCACTAGATATATCTCCCCATGGACTTTAATCAACTATTTTAACACTCTCAAGACCCAGACCCGTAAAGCTAGAACAAAATCCTAGTAAAATTGCAACGAAATCCTTTCCCAGATTTATCAATGTCCTGAAAACAATCAACAAAAGTACTTTTTAAGATGCAAATGAAATATTAACTAAAAAATATTCCTGAGTTCTAATTAATGGCATGACAACACTAACTTAATTGAACACTGAGTAAGTTCTCAATCACAGAAAAAAAAAATCCTCTAAAAATTATAGTTTATGCCTGTGGTGTATAAAGGCACTATTTGTATTCCATGTTAGTGCCAAGGAAATACTGACCCCAAAGAAAGGAGAAAGATATCTCAACCCAGAAGCCAAGATTGAAAAGATAAACTGCTTCATATGGGTTTCTTATATATCAGTCAGTCAGAATATTACTAAATATTAAGTTTATTCTGCTCTCAAACATATTGATAAATTTTTTTAGATACTAACCTAATCTGTATTGAAATCACATTCTTTAAAGATTCTAATTCTTCAGTCCTCATTTATCAGACAAAGAAAACAATTCAAGTGGTTGAACTGCATGTCACTTGAGCTGATAGCACCAACACTCACCCAAATACACTGGTGATGTTACCTACATTCAGTTGTGACTGAATGCAGGTAACATCAGGAGGGTTGAATATTCTATCTGTTGCATTATACCCAAGAATTTTGAGAAGATGATATATTCATAACCAGCAGGTTTTATCGGACCTATCACTCTTCAAGTTTTTAAAAATAGGTTATTGGCTTAGCCTAACACTAGATTACCAAAACATGAAGCAACCGGATTGGCCCCTGTGGTACAGTTGGCAGGATGCAGGCTGGTAAGTGGCCAAGCTGGTCTTGAGGTTAGGTGTGTGATGTAGATTGGATGCCCCCCCACCACACCCCAACCTCATTGAAGCTTAAATTCTCACTATAACTGTTGAGGGTGGGAAATCCTATTATGGTAATTCAAAGGTGGGGCCTTGAAGAGGTGATTAGGTTGTAGGATCATAATGAATGGATTGAAAATGATGGTCATGGGCATGGTTCTGAGGGCTTTAAAAGAAGAGCACATGAGAGGTTAGTCTTTCTCTGCTCCACCATTTTCTGCCATGTGAGACCCCTGGGTCACTGTTGCCACCACCAAGGCCTTCACCAGATGTGTTCCCTAGACTTTGGACTTCTCAGCCTTCAAAACTGTAGGCAATAAATTTCATTCTTATTAATTACCCAGTTCTGTGTATTTTCTCATAAGCAACAGAAACAGACTAATACAGAAAATTGGTACCAGAGAAGTGGGGTGTTGCTTATAACAAATACTGAAAATGAGGAAGCAGCTTTGGAACTGGGTGTTAGGCAAAGGCTGGAGGAGTTCGCAGGACTCAAAAGAAGATAAAAAGTCGAGAGAAAGTTTGGAATGTCTTAGAGACTGGTTATGTGGTGGCAACCAGAATTCTGATAGAAATATGGACTGTAAAGACCATTCAGATGTAAATGAGAAGGGACTTATTGGAAACCAGGGCAAAGATCATCCTTGCTTTTAACTGGCAAGGAACTTGGCTGCATTGTGTCCATGCCCTAGGACTTTGTGGAAGTTGGAACTTAAGAGCTGTGAACCAGAGTATTTGGCAGAAGAAATTTCTAAGCAGCAAAACATTCAAGAAGCTGCGTGGCTACTTGTAATAGCCTATGCTGAGTTATGAAGGCAAAGGCATGGCATAAAGCCAAAATTTAAAAGGGAAGCAGAGCATAAAGATTTAGAAAATCTGTAGCCTGGCCATGTGGTAGAGGAGCAGAGAGCATTTTTAGGAGAGCAATTCAATGGTATAGCTCTGAGACTGTTTGCTAAGGAGATTAGTACAGAAGAAAGGGATTATCAAGAAAAGGGGGAAAAAAAGACCTTGAAGGCATTTCAGAGATCTCAGAGACCCCATCTTCCATTTCAGGCCTAAAGGCCTAGGGAGACAGAATGGTCTTGAGGAACAGGCCTGAAGTGCCCTCCATGGGCTCACTGCCCAAGGCCACCTTGGGAATCTGCTTCCAGCACCAGTATCCTGGCTGCTTTGGCTGCTCCAGCCTTGGCTAAACTACTGGAAGCCTTGGCGGCATTTATGTAGTGTCAGGTCTGCAGGCTCACAGAATGCAAGAGATGTGCAGGCTTGGGAGCCTCCATCCCAACTTCAAAGTATGTATGGAGAAGACTGGGCCCAGGAAGAGATTGGTTGCAGGGTCAGATTCACTGTAGAGTTTTCTTTAGAGTGATAACAAGAGGAAATGTGGGGCCGGAGGTGCAGCAGAAAAACTCAAACAAGGCCATATCTAATGGAGATGTGAAAGCAGGACCACCATGGGGGCCCCAGAACTGTGTAGCTACCAGAGTGCAATGCCAGCCTGCAAGAGCTGAAGCATAACCTGAGACCAGGAAAGCCATAGAAACAGAGCTGCCTGAGGGCTTGGGGACCCAACCCCCACACCAGTGTGCAGAGGACTTCAAACATGGAGTCAAGGTAGATGATTCACCAGCTTTGAGATTTAATGCCTGCCCTGCTAGGTCTTGGACTTGTTTGCCATCTGTTACACCTTTCTTTTGGCCTATTTCTCCCTTTTTGAATGGGAATATGTACCCTACGCTTGAGCCACTGTTATATCTCAGATGTAGATAACTTGTTTCAATTTCACAGATGGGATCTTGAGACTTTGGACTTTGAGTTGAAACAAGTCAAGACTTTGGAGATGAAACAAGTGTATTTGTATGTGAAAATGACATGAGTTTTGGGGGTTCAGGAATGGAATGTTATAGATTGGATGCCACCCCCCAACCTCATTGATGCTTAAATCCTTACTGTATCTGTTGAGGGTGGGAAATCCTATTACAATAATTTAAAGGTGGGGCCTTGAAGAAGTGATTAGGTTGTAGGACCATAAAGAATGGCTTAAAAATGGTGGTCACGGGTGTGGTTCTGAGGGCTT